TCTTGACTCAAGTTAATTAGTTAAATTCAGCAAACATTTTTTGAGCAGTTAACTGCTAAGTGCTAGACACTGTGCCATGGAAGAGGTTCTCAACTTGGTTTTATACTACTAAAGGTGAAGTGTATTGCACGTGATTTGTTATTTGTTAAAAATGATTAAAGTACCAATATGTGCAAATAATTTACTTTAAAAAATTAAGTTGGAGCTGAATTTGAGAAACATCTGTATTAACATCATTCTTATATACATGTCAGTATGCTTTCTTGAATAAATATGGAGTAAGATATAGCTAATGGACATGGGATCATGCATTAGCTACAACCTAATTTTTTATTCCAGAGTCTATAGTGACCAGCCTTCTAATGTCTGTCAGTAGTTTTATAATTAATTGTGTTGTTGTTATGTGCCATAGAGTCAGCCCTGACTCATAGTGACCCCTCCTTGGGTTGCCGAGGCAGTATCACTATGGAAGTAGATTGCCCAACCTTCCTTCCGAGGAGTGGCTGGTGGGTTTGAACTGCCAGCCTTCTGGTTAGCAGTCAAGTGCCTTAGGCACTATGCTACCAGAACTCCTTATAATTAATTACAATGCTTTTATTTCCTGCATACCTCTTTTTTTTTTTTGGAAAAAAATCTAAATTTGTTCATATGAGAATAAATCCTGTGTGTCAGGATGTGAGTGTGGGAGGGAGAGATGGGGAGATTAGAATTACTGTCTGAGGGATAAAGAAATGAATAAGGCAGTTCTTGCCTTTAAGCATCTAGGGAATAGCTTGGTAGGCTAACAACATATAATATGCAAATGCTATAATAGAGGTAAAGTAAGACAGAAAACACAGAGTAGAGCCATCCAACTGTTCTTGAAGTGAGGTATTCCCAGAGGAAGTGATGTTTCCTACATCTGGTATCATTGAAAGGAATTTGGTAGGAGATTGGGATGGGAGGGTTGGAATTGAGGATTGCATCAAGGCAAGGAGAATATCATGTATAAAACAAGGAAATATGAGAGGATGGTGTTTTTGGAGAGAATTACAAGTAGTATATAATAAATATTTGTAAGGTTTTCACTGGCCAATTCTTTGAGGAGTGGATGGCCCTTTCCTTCTTCTGAGTCTGTCAGTCTGGAAACTCCACTGAAATCTATCCACAGTGGTGACCCTGCTGGTATTTGAAATACTGGTAGCATAGCCTTCAGCCTTACAGCAACATGCAAGCTACCACAGTACAACAAATGGCAGACAAGTGGCGGTTATGAATAGTACTGCCAGAAGAACTAACAAATCTGTTTTGGAAAAAGTGCAGCTGAATGCTCCTCGGAAGCGGCAGTGGCCCAACTTTGTCTTGCCTATACTTTGGTCATATTGTGAGAAGGGACCATTCCCTGGAGAAGGATTTCATGCTTGGTAAAGTGGAGGGTCAGCGAAAAAAGGGGAGGCCCTCAACAAGATGGATTGACACAGTGGCTGCAGTGATGGGCTCAGGTATAGCAAGGATTGTGAGGTGGCGCAGGACTGTGCAGTGTTTTGTTCTGTTGTATACAGGGTCGCTATGAGTCGGAGCAATGGCACCTAACAAAAACACAACATGTAATAGCTAAAGGAGAGTAAGGGAGGATAAACAGGCAGCTGATGGGCTTAGTTTGCTACGGAATTGGACTTTATCTCTCAGGTAGTGAGTCACTGAACAGTTTTAAGCAGGAGAGCAACAAGATAACTTTGCAATTTTGAGGTACAAGGGTACTGGAAGAACTGACAAGCTGATGTCTCATGATGATTAATCTTTTCAGTAGCTGGCAAATTCCATCTACATATAGAAGACAAATAATTTTTGCTGCTGTTTGAATGTAGCTGAAAAAATGAATGGAAGATTATCATTCACCTCTAAGCTGCATGCACACATCTCTAGTTGGTGGGTGGGAGCTGTTGTTTGCAGATCTTAAAGTTATTTTTACCTTCAGTTTTAGTTTTAAGATCTGTTCTGAACCTTTGATCAAGGGGAGAAACTTCCTGATTGTTGCATACCTAATGCCACTTTATGTTTTCTTAATGACTGATCAGTTAGTTTGTCTCAGGGTGATACAAGTGGTTAAATACTTGGGTGCTACCTAAAAGGTTCAGAAAAGTTGGCAGTTCAACCAGAGGCACCTTGGCAAAAAGGCTTGGAGATCTTCTTCCGAAAAACCAGCCATTGAAAACACTAGGGAGCACAGTTCTACTCTGACACATGTGGGGTTTGCCAGTGAGTTGGAATTCACTTGATACTAGTTCGATTTTCTTTTTGGTTAAAAGAAAACACCTAGATAAATAAATGTGTCACTGGCCCATAGAAGGTATTTAAAAAGTATCATTTAACTGTTGTTGCCATTGTTTTCAGTTTGCCATTATGATCTGCTAGGCTTTACTCAAACTCACTGTCAAGTCAGATCTGACTCATAGCGACCCCTTCTTGGGTTCACAAGGCGGTATCACTACAGAAGTAGATTGCCCAACTTTCCTTCCGAGGAGTGGCTGGTGGGTTTGAACTGCCAGTCTTCTAGTTAGCAGTCAAATGCCTTAGGCCCTATACCACCAGAGCTCCCTAGGCTTTACTCTAGGCACTGAAAAATAAAGTTGAATACAAAATGAGTCCTGTTCTCAAGGTACTTTATAGTCTAGTGAGAAAGTATTAATTATATTAATCAACAATGAGATGAGTGTTATATTGATATTATAAATGTATGAAGGTATGAGGTAGTATGAAGAAAGAAACCAAGGAAGGTTTCAGGGAGGAGGCATCTTCTTTTTTTAATGTGGCTCTGAAAAATAAGTAGAATTTGAGGGGCTAGAGGAGAGGAGAGGAAGAATATTTTATGCAGATGAAAGACATGACAGTGACTCATGAACATGTTTGGCATCCTGTCTACTTGTTTAAAGAAGTTTTTTTTTTTTTTTTTTTTTCTGATTAGTTTGAAACGCACATTGTTTAACCCTGACTTTTCTCACATTTTAAAACATATCAAAGTTTCTTAACAGCTGACATTTTGTTATAAACTCAGGGTGGCAGTTTTTAGTTGATTAAAGAAAAAGAAGAGTGACTTTCAGGATGGAGAGCCCTTATTAAAACACAGATGTCTTCTGTAAATAGAATTGGAAAAATACTGTCAGTGAGTTCTTTGTATATAAATGTTTCTTTTTACTTATCCATGCAGGATCTGAAAAGGAAAGCCACTTGTCTTTCATCAGTCACAAGGTTCATGACAACAGAATCATTGATGCACTGGGAAGAGGGTTGGGTTCCAAATCTCCCTAAGTGATCTAGAAGAGGGGAAAGGCAGTCAGTGTTCTCCGTAAGTTTTTCTGATCAGAGTTCCTGTGGCTCTGAGTGTTTTTTTTTTTTTTTTCCCTCTTCCTATTCTCCTCTCTGTCCTGTCACTCTTAAATATTGTTTCTTTGACTTCTAAGATGACTTGTGATGTCCCGTATTAATAGATACACTAAGTTTCTGGGGCTACTGTCATTTGAAGGAGTTTATAGAGGTTCAAGAGTTCAGTCAATTGTCGTGTTTTCTGTTGGATTTCCCACTTCGTCAAGTATACTGAAATAATACATTTTTGCATAGCAGGTCTGTGTTGTGCATGATCTGAGCTATTTTTTTTTTTTTTTTAACTGGAAAGTAATGAAGTCCCATACTTCATCTCTTAATTTTCCTACTGCCTCATTTATACTTTCCCTGTAGGTATGCATACATCTCTCTGAAAAATTGAGCATCTTTCAGGTTGTTGTTAGTTGCTCTTGAGTCAAGTTCATTCCGACTCGTGGTGACCCTCCGTGTGCAGAATAGAACTGCTTGCTCCATAGGGTATTCAAGGCTGCAATCTTTTAGAAGCAGATTGCCAAGCTTGTCTTGTGGCACATTTGGGGGGGTTCACACTGCTAACCTTTCTGCTAGTTGTGGAGCACTTAACCATTTGCACCTCTCAGAGACCTCTTTTGAATAAGGGAACTAAAATATTTTCTGTGGTGCTCTTATTTTACTACTACTGCAGCCTTATTGGGAGCTCTGGTAGCATAGTGGCTAAGACACTTGCCTGCTAACCAGATGGCTGGTGGTTCAAACCCACCAGTCACTCCTCGGAAGGAAGGTTGGGCAATCCTACTTCCATAGTGATACTGTCTCGGAAACCCAAGGAGGGGTCGCTATGAGTCAGGTATGACTCGACGGCACATAACAACAACAACAGCAGCCTTATTTAAACATACTAATTTTACTGTAAAGAAAAAGTATTGTGGTTTTTGAACCTTGTAGAGTATGCATTGAAATTTTTAAATAGTATTTTTGCATGTAAGATATATTGAATGCATAGAAGGTGGATACTTTTAGAGGTAGACTTTTCTTTGCATGTGGACATAAGTGTGAGTGATGTGGTCTGTGTGCTTAATGATTGCAAGGTGCTTTGGGTTGAATTATTACAATATTATGTTCACTGACTTCTTTCTATATTTAACACATGGTGCTTTTTTCCTCGATAGATATATTTTCATGGTGCTTGGAGGAGATTTTGAGGATGTGGATTTAGTGTGTTGTAAAGATAGTTTTATAGTTAAGTATTATATAAAATGTGTATCTTTTTTTGTGTACACTTAAAATTCCACAGAAGGTACTTTTTTTTTCCTTTTGGTGCCATAAGACTTACCAGTGTTGGCTATAGAAACCAGTCTGAAAATTTCCCCCACTTTTTTCTAAGGTATAGAAAAAAAACATGCTTTCTTGACATGTTTATTAGTCATGTTTTTCTGGCCAGCTAAATGTGAAACAGTTTTTTCCTTGGATGGACTAAATCTATCTCCATTAATGGAAGTGAGACCCCAGTGTAATCAGGGTTCACAGAAAAACACCCCTTACCGTTTCTGTTTTTTCTAAACTGGTACTAAAACATCTGGGCATGTTATACATGTGGAGACTTTGTTCTCATATGTAGCTGTTGTCTTGAGCCTCTTTTCTTGTTCTGTTTTGTTTTCTAGGTACGCCACCGAGCTTCTGGCCAGGTGATGGCTTTGAAGATGAACACGTTGAGCAGTAACCGGGCAAACATGCTGAAGGAAGTACAGCTCATGAATAGACTCTCCCATCCCAATATCCTTAGGTAATGGTTTTCTCTCCTTCTGGGAACCAGGACCAAAGCTGAAGCACTATTGGAGGTTTGTTAGAATAACACTGACAGCTAAAAGGAGAGGCTCAGGATTTATCATGCTGAATCTGTCTTGCCGGGGTTTAGCTGTGCCCTAGATCTTTTTCTATCCACTGAGTGTAATTTCCTGTATTTAATAAACTGACTTTTTCTGTCCCTCCAGTTGCTTAACTCTTAGTAACAGTGCATTAGAACAGTTGTTTCCTATTACTGAATTAGTAGTTTACCACAGAGGGAAGACTTTGGTCTTTATGTGGTTATTTAAATGTCTTAATTGCTTCATAAGGAATTATAATTCAATCAGTGGATGAAAACAAAAATAAAATTTTGCCCTCAAGTTGTTTACCCTTAACTTTCACTCGTATAAGGAGGAGGCACACTTTGCCTTTTTAAAGGAGAACTGTTTTTATATATAATAAATTATATAATCATTACTTTCTAATAATCAGTATCTCAATGTTTCTCATTTTAATTATCTTGATATTTTAGTGAGGTGAGTATATTTCCAAAGGAGATCAAATAAGACAATTAAGTTTAATAGATATTTAAGTAGTGCTTATGTGTAGACACTAAACAATTAGAAGTGCTGTTCACTCACTGCTAATATTTTATATATCTATATAGGACTAGAGAGGAATCATACATTTTAATAATGACTTACATGTTTGGTCTGTGGTTCTAAATTATGAAAATTAGATTATATGGCTTCTTTGAAACTTTCTATCTTTATAGAGAATTACTGGCTTTCTAGTCTACTTCTTTTAACCTGAAAGAACTGAAGAAAAAATTCAAGCTTTAAATTGCTGTGTTGAAGGATTCTAATGGGAGCTCTGGTGGCATAGTGCCTAAGGTATTTGACTGCTAACCAGAAGGCTGGTGGTTCAAACCCACCAGCCACTCCTTGGAAGGAAGATTAGGCAATCTACTTCCGTAGTGATACCGCCTCAGAAACCCAAGGAGGGGTCGCTATGAATTGGATCCAACTCAACAGGAGTGAGTTAGAATTTATGGGCAAAATATTGAACTATTCAGGAAACATCAAAAGAAGATGTAATGAATTCACAGAGTCACTGTACCAAAAGGAATTGGTCAACATTCAACCATTTCAGGAGGTGTAACATATTTTCAAGAATGAATAGTATTGAAGGAAGAAGTCTAAGGTCTAAGTCTAAGTCTAAGAAGTCTGAAGGAATTGTTGAAAAACAAGGCTTCAGGAATTAATAGAATACTCATTGAGATGTTTCAACAAAAGGATTCAGCACTAGACACACTCACTCATTTATGCCAAAGAACTCGGAAGGCAGCTACCTGGCCAGCCAACTGGAAGAGATCCATATTTGTGCTTATTCCAAAGAAAGGCGATGCAACAGGATATGGAAATTATCAATTAAATATCATTAGTATCACACACAAGTAAAATTTTGCTGAAGGTAATTCAGAAATGGTTGCAGCAGTATATTGACAGGGAACTTCCAGAAATTCAAGCTGGATTCAGAAGAGGATATGAAATGAAGGATATCATTGCTGATTTCAGATGGATCTTGTCCGAAAACAGAGAATACCAGAAAGATGTTTACCTATGTTTTATTGACTATGCAAAGGCATATGTGTATCATAACTGCAAAAAAGACAAGGAGGCCACATATTCTGACCTCCTCTAATCCCACAAGAGGAAGACAGGATTAACAGCAGTAACCCAAGGCCTATTACTGCAAGGCCAGACATGCAGCCTCCCTCCAGCCCTTTCTCCAACCGTTCCTCCCAAAGCACCCACCACCTCTCTCCTGCATTCAATAATTCACTGCAGTGGCCACACAGAGCTCACAGATTATGGGGTTTATTAGGGAAGCACCACAGGCTACAATTCAAGTTCAGGAAAAATGCTCAGTCTCTCTCCCAGCCCACCGTCCCTCAGCCAACAGTCTCTCACAGTCTCTTTCCCAGCAGTACTGGTCCCTCGGTGTCTCACTCAGCAATGCGTGTCTCTTGCGTCTCTTTCCCAGTAACACGTGTCTCAGGAGCCCGTGTCTCTTTCAGCAGCACGTCTTCCTCAACCAGCAGTCAGAGAGAGTTCTGACTCTAGGAGGCCTCCTTTTGAGCCCCAAGGGTGGTCAAACTAGCCAATTATAGCATCAGAACTCTAAGCACCTGAGAGAGAGTGTGCACCTCCCAGAACATTGTTTTGTGCCACTCCCAACAGAAATACTCCAGGTGGACACCTTCAGCAATCAGGAGCTCCTCAGTTGCTTATAGAAAATCCCACCTTGGAGTTTACAAAGACTTATGGGTAGAAAAGCCACATGAAGTAATTTACTACACCACAATAACAAATTACAGATAACATTGCAAAGAATGGGAACACTTAATTGTGTTCATGAAGAATCTGTAGAGGCAATCATTGGAACAGATCAAGGGAATATTGCATGGTTCAAAATAAGGAAAAGTATGCATCAGGGTTGTGTCCTTTCACCATACTTATTCAGTCTGTATGCTGAGCAAATCATCTGAGAAACTGAACTATATGAAGAAGAATATAGCATCAGGATTGGAAGAAGACTCATCAACAACCTGCGATATGCAGATAATACAACTTGGCTTGCTTTCTGAAAGTGAAGAAGATTGGAAGCATTTACTGATGAAGATCAAAGACTACAGTCTTTAGTATGGATTACACTTCAACATAAAAGAAAGAAAAGTCCTCACAACTGGACTGACAAGCAACATCTTGTAAAATGGGGAAAAGATTGAAGTTATCAAGGATTTCATTTTACTTGGATCCACAATCAACACCCACGGAAGCAGCAGTCAAGAAATGAGACAACGTATTCCACTGGGCAAATCTGCTTCAAAAGATCTCTTCAAAGTGTTAAAGAATTAAGATAGTCCCTTTGAAGACTAACATGTGCCTGACCCAAGCCATAGTATTTTATATAGCCTCATATGCTTGGGAAAGTTGGACAGTGAATAATGAAGACCGAAGAACTAATGCATTTGAATTGTGGTGTTGGCAAAGAATACTGAAAATACCACTGACTGACAGAAGAACAAACAAATCTATCTTGGAAGAAGTGCAGCCAGAATGCTCCTTAGAAGCAAGAATGGCCAAACTTCATCTCACGTACTTTGGTCATGTTGTTGGAAGGGACCAGTCCCTGAAGAAGGATATTATGCTTGGTAAAGTAGTTGTTGTTGTTGTTGTTGTTTGCCGTCGAGTCGGCCCCGACTCATAGCGACCCCTCCTTGGTTTCCGAGGCAGTATCACTACGGAAGTAGGATTGCCCAGCCTTCCTTCTGAGGAGTGGCTGGTGGGTTTGAACCACCTGCCTTCTGGTTAGCAGTCAAGTGCCTTAGCCACTAGGGTCAGCAAAAAAGGGGAAGACCCTCATGGAGATGGATTGACACAGAGGCTGCAACAAGGTGTTCAGTCACATTAATGGTTGTAAGGATGGCATAGGACTGGGCAGTGTCTTGTCAGCTGTACATAGGGTTGCTGTGAGTTGTAACGGACTCGATGGCACCTAACAATAGTAGTCCACTACAGAAATGTTCAGCCAATATTTTTATTCTTATGACTTTCTTCCAAATCCGTAAATCAGAATAATACATGTTTTGAACTCTAGTATATACATGGTGATATGTTAGATTTCAAAAAGGTATAAAGTTGTATATATAAAATGTAATGTCTGCTAGCAAAGAATTTATATTCTAATTGGGGTTCTAAGACATATCCAGGAGAAGAGAACTAATAAAATCAGCTCGGATACTACCACTTGGGTAAAATAAACTCTTAAGTGCTATGGAAGTTCAAAGGAATGAAAAGTCATATTGATTTGGCAGAGTCAGGGAAACCTTGGAGGAGGGAACTTGAGCTAGACCTTGCATCTTGATAGGGTTGTATTTATATATCATTGAACTATTTGAAACAGTATTTTTTAAGTAATTTATTTTATTTTCATTGTTGATGTTGATAATATACACAGCAAAACATATAACAATTCAACAAGTTTCTACATGTGCAATTTAGTGACATTGATTATATTCTTCAAATTGTGCAAAAAGTCTCACCCTCCTTTTCTTACTTGTTCCTCCTCCATTAACATAAACTCACTGACCTCCTCCCCCCAAGATTCCTATCTAATCTTTCAAATTATTGTTGTCAGTTGGATCCTATATAGATAGATCTTAAAAGATAATAATTTTCCAGGGAGATATTCATTACTAGTTAAGCTGAACTATTGTTTGAGTTTAAGAAGACTTCAGAGGATATTTTTGATTTTAGATTTAATAGTTTCAGGGGTTGGTAGGGTTTTAGAAGTAGGGAAGGCAGTCAGACAGGAGCAAAATAGTAAAGCACAGAGGTGAAAGCGCAGCGCTTTTTTAGGAGTCACTGAGTAAAGACCTATTTGGCTAATAATTATAGAGACTCATTGTTTATTAAAGACTTGTGGGCTGAGTGCTTTACTTAATTAAAGATTTAATTTTCACAACCAGTGTTTAGTGAAGACTTGAGGCCTAGAGATTATGAGTTGGCCTAGGCTCTTTCTGCCAGGCTTCTAGAAGACCTGAGGATCTGGAAAGGTAAAATGAGGCCAAATTATGCAAAGATGCTTTGCATAAAGCTGAGAAGATTGCGTTTTATGCTTTGTTTATTGAATTCTGAGTAGGACATGACAGAGGATAAATGATGTCAAGATACAGAATAGTTTACAGGGAGACTGATGGGCAAGAGATCAATTAGGAGGCCTCCCCCTTGTGGAATGTGAGGTGGATGAGTCTTGATTTGATATTTTTAAGCTGATCATGTTT